CCCGGCCGGTGTCCGAAAACCCAGGGCCTCGCGGTCCCCTCCGCACCTCGCCCTATCCGAGGGCGTCTGCCGCGGCTCTCCGGTGTCCCGGAGGCTGGGTTAGATAAAGCCCGGGATTAGAGACACACCAGGGGACAATCAAACCCTCTCACAACACCCTGCTCGACCCCTGTCCGCTTCGCAGCCAGGTAGGGCTCTGCAGTGCCCCACCCCTGCCGGATCCTCTAAATTCCGAGAGAGAACACATTCCTTGCTCCGGTCTCTCAGAAGAGCTGAGGTATTCTCTTTTTTAAGAAATTGTTTTTCCTTTAAGTATTTCTAACTTTACACATGCTCTTCAGCATTTGCGTGGGACCCTTTCGGGCTCCTGTACGTTCGGGTCTCAGAGTACCTCCCACCCAGCACGTTAGTCACCTGCTTCTGGGGTGCAAGCCTTTGGAACTGGAGTCCAGGGCTGAGTCTAGCCAGGAGATGTGCCCAGAAGTTTCGTTATGATAGCCAGTTGGGCAAACTTCGGCATTTTGATTTGTAAAAACAGACGTACATTTACATGAGGGGAACTCAGGAAATCCGTCTTGCCAAATTCACCAGTGGCACGTGACATACACACGGAACAATTTTTTTTTTAAATGATCCACTTTAAAGTAAGGTTGCTCAGATGCAACTCCACTACTGAAACTGGGGTGTGTGTTTAAACACTAGGGCCCAGAGGCTAGCATTTGTGGCAGTAGTACTTGTGTGACTCCTTGAAGCAATTACGTGTTGGGAAGTTTTTCCATACTTTGAAAACATACTTGGCGCCTCATTTCTTTGATGGCTACTCAATAGAGGCCACCAGACAGTGTCGGAGCCGCCCCTCCCCGGCGTCCCTCTCGCGTGCAGCGCTTTCATCCAGGACTTGAATTGTGTTGTCAGAGGTTAGTAGACGAGAGGGGAGGGGGCATGAGAACTGGAGGGTGTCTTGAAAAGTCTTGGAAATCGGTATATTTTGCAGGTGTAGAATGTGCCTAACAACCATGGCCAGTGGGCGCTCCCCAAGGGCGAGGGTATGACAGGGACAGCTGGCTCAGCCTTCAGTGTGAAAACACCCCCTCCGTGGACCAGACACACGACACTGACCTTTCTTCGGGGGGAACCAAGGATGTGCCTTTGACTGAATTAGCCATAAAGGCGTCTTGCTATGACTTTTGTTCCCCACGAAAGCAGAGAAATATTGCGTTTAATATGAGAAGTACTGTGCACAGCTTTTCTGTGCCCCTTAAGAAATATTACAGTGCTGATTTACTGGCCCTGGGCTGCAGAGCTGGCCCCAGGGCTGGCTGGGGATGGAGGAGTTCAGATGGGGCCAGGAGGCCTAGGAGGAGGAGGAGGTGGCGGCGGTGGCGTGGGTGAGTTAACTTGCCCATGCCTGTTTCCAGAGTTCTCTTTATCACTCTTTTCATCTGACAATACTTTGAAATATGTCATTGTCATCCAGAGTGGTTTGATATATTATCTGCAGGCACACAGCTTTTCCAAGGTCAAGTTGAAGATTCTTGTTTGCCATTTAACTGGGTTGTTTAAAAACTCAGAACAATGCCTGCCTGTTAAATTTTCACTTATTCAAAAGCAAGTTTTCCTGTTGGCCTGGCCTCCTCCGGACATTTCATACTTTGCAGCTGAAGCCAGCAAACAGGGCTTGGTGATGAGATCAATAGGAGAAATGAGATTTAACCTCACCACTTGTAGCATTCAGGAGATTAAGCCATCTTTCACATCTCCTCAAAGTGTGGACTAGTTTTTCTCTGGGTGTCACAGGGTGGCTCTAACTACACACATCACATTCGACTAATTTTATTTCTGGGGGCTGCTGCAGATAAACGGCCCTAAAACAGAAGGGCAGAGAAATGGTGGCCCATCTTGTTTTTGCCACAGCACAACCTGTTGCTCTGAGAACGTTTAAAAGATAAAGTCAGCTTCTAAATGGCTACATTTTAGGGACATATTTATTTCTGCTTTTAATGGCAAGACTGGCTTCACAGTTTCCTCTATATCTGCGATGATTGATTTTTTTTAATTCAGCTAACTTTTATTTACCTTGCAATAATGTTCTGGACCAATGTGATAAATTACAGACATGCAAATTTCTTTGAATGGCGTTGTAAGTGTGTCTCGCTGGAGCTGAATAACTCCTTGCAAGTCAGTCTGTGCGCGCTCAGGACCCCAGGGAGCTGATCAAAGCACCCATTCTCTTTCATCCCCGGTATTCTCCTCCAAACTATTTCGATACAATATGTTTCCATGATGCACTTAATGTGCTAGGGACATAGAACTCATTACAACCTAGCTAGTTCTGGCGACCTCTTTGTTCGGAGGCAGAAAGTCAAAGAAAAAAGGAAAAGCACAGCCAGTTGCCAGCTTTCTGAAATGCTAAAAGCATGCGTCATTTTTCACCAGGTCTCGTCTTGATATCCTCAAAAGACAAACTCTGAAACCGGCCTCAGCCCTTTCTAGCATTAATTACAATGCTGTCCAGCCGATCTGTTTTTCCTATTATATGCATTTCTCAGCGGGGATTTTTTTTTTTTTGCAAGACTAATGCAGCTGCGAGTTAAACTATGAATGCATTTTTATCGCTATGGAAAAAATCAGTGAAAAGGCTGCAAAACATACAGCAAAACTTCTGAAAAACTTCTGGTGGACCTGGGGGTGGGGAGAGTTGCAAGTCCTCTAACCCTGAAAATGACTGAGAGCCTGAGAAGTTCCCCCTGTGCTCAGGGTCTTGTGGAGATCTTATTGTGCCACTGGAAATTCTACGCTGGTACCCAGATAAACCCAGAAGGCTAATATTTCTGCTAAAATTCTGAAGCACTGCACCCCCACCAGGAGGCTGCTCCCAAGGAATGTGGGTCCAGCAGGATGGCACGGAGAATATAAATTTTATTTGATTTCCCTCGTTTCTCGTAGGGGTGATTGGTCCATGGAAATGGCTGGCAGCCAGTTCTGGGAAAGATTCCAAACCTGACTCCTATTAACCCTCTCTGGTGAAACTCTGCTGGAAACCAACTCACCAGCAATTGCCATTAATCTACTTACTAATTAAGCCAATTCATTTCTAAAGGAGAAAAATTCCTTTCTTTAGCCAAACTGATGGGAGGAAATTTGAAAGAAGCGCCAAACTGTGTAACTGTAATTCAGCCAAGGACTGCTAAAACAAGGTGTTGATATATAGCAGCAGATTTAAAACAAGTTTCTAGGGCAACACTCCTCCGGAGACGGTGGTATATAGTGCATAGTAGATGAAGCTCGAATAATGCTCCACGGCGCCATGCCACCCCATGTACTGGCGTTCAAACCAACAGGTCTCTCTCCAATTAAATCCCATCCCTTTTACGCACAAATGAATCTCCTCTCCAGCTTTCTTTTACATCGGAGTGTGTCCTCTTTATGTGACAGCTACCACAAATATCTTTCTCGAGCCTTAGAAATCTGGAATCCAGGGAGTAGGATTCGGATACAGATGCCGGGCAGGCCTGAACTTGTACTTAGGGGAACAGAAAAGACCCAACATTGCACGCGCAAAGAGCCTCTCAGCATCCTAGGAAATGGCACCGGGCGTCCCAACAGGGTCCCTGCATGTGGATTCTGAAAATCCTTCGGATTTCCTGAGAAGCAAAACCCCAAGGAGAACTGTAAAGTAAACATCGTAAAGCAGACAAACTGAAGAATTGTCCGCTGCTTTTAAGGTCCCCGGGAGAGACCTGAGCCCGATGTGAGGGAGGAGTGGAGCTTCCCAAAGGATGTGTAGAGCTCTCTTGGAGGGTTTAATCTTCCCGGGAGTTAAGGGGTGGGTGAGGGCAGTTTGACCTCATACTAGGGAAAGAAAGAGCATGCAATACGTTAAAGGCCTTGAACTCTTTAAAGGAAGTCCAGTCTTTTCTGCCTCAGGCGCTAGGGTACAGCCCGGAGCTGGGAGCACCGGAGTGGACCTGACCACCCTTCAGGGTCTGTGTGCCCAGCCGCTCCGGCTCGGCTGGTCACGGCACCCACAAGAGTCTCCTCAGAGCTTGGAAAGCTGCATGCAAAAGGTGCATGGAGTTTTCAAGGTCGGTGCTCAAATAGGGTGCATAATGCAGAGAAGAGGAATGGTCAGCTTGGAAATGCCTTGGGAACAGAAGAGCCCTGGCCAGGGAGGCAGACCTTCCTGGGGCCAAGATGAAGAGAGCCCTCTGTCTGGCCCCTGCTCTGCGCTGTCCAATTTCCTTCTTGGTTAATTGGGTGGATTCTCCTCTTCCCTGGGGCTGCTCGGCAGCATGGGTGGCTTCTTCAAAGGTTGGATAAAGGCTGGAAGAGAGGACAGATGAGCAGACATAAACTTTATTTTACTTTTTGTACCACCAAGCTCTGCCCCCCCACTTCCTCTTTGCATCTTATTTTTTAGTGCGTTTCCCCAGGCCTGGCCTACTCCAGTGGTGGTAGGCGAGGTAGGGTGGTCAGATCCCCCCAGCCTTCAGAATAGTGTGGGTCAGCCAAGTTTGCCACTGAAACAGCTTTGCTGCTGCCCCAGACTTCAGACATGTTTTTAGGTTCTTGTGACCAAGGCCAGTTAATGGCCTTCTTCTGAGAATGAGGGGTCGTTGTAAGGGAATTTTTTTTTTAATGGAAAAGGTTATCTTTAAACTTCCATTTGTGTTTCAATCTTCCCTCCACGTGAAAAAGAAAATTATAAACAGGGAGGAGAGAAAACCGAAGTGGCAGGGCTCTGCAATTGGGGAATGAAAGGCTGTCCTCCGCACTCCCTGGACTGGGCTCTTGCCCGGTAGGGAGGGACGTTTACCTGGTGTGTAGATTGTGAGGAAAGCGATGGGGGTCTGAGGCAGGAAAGCCACAACATGGTATGTGATGTTCCAGCTTTGATGGGGAACAAAGGCCTGGAGCTAATCCCAGTGAAAACCAGGAGCGTGGAGAAGGCAACAAAGAGCTGCAGCCTGCGGCCGCTGGTACGTGTCATGTGGACACTTACAGCCGGGGCAGTGGGAGAGGGGAACACGCAGCCAGGCTGTCATTCCAAGGCTTAACATGAACAAAGATAAAAACGTGACAACTTCAGCTTTCAATAGTTGCGGGGTTCAAAGTGGGGCCTCCCTGGGTCAAGTCTTTTCTGAGAAGAGGCCTTTCTTTTTCTAGTCAACTATCAACCAGGAAAACCTGGAGGGCCTTTTCCCAAGGTAACTTTTCTTACTCAAAGGTTTCTTCAAAGTAACATCCAGTTGCACTCTCTGCCTAATATGAAGCTCTCCAGATTTTTGGAAGCCTTGTAAAGGGCCTCATTTTCTGCACGCCAGAGACCCCAAGTGGCTGCATGAAGTGTTTATGAACTTGGGCGGCCTACCGAAACTTTCTGTTCATGCCCTTTTCGCACATTTAATGAAGTGACATTGCCTCTCATTAAACTGTACATCATGTAGATGATGCATGTGCATGCCCATGGTTGATGGGCACCATGGTTTTCAAAGTGTGCACAAATCTTACGTGCAAATGGGAAAACGACAAAGGGATGACAGAGACTCTTGGAGTGAAGAGTGCTCAAGATTTCAGTCTCACCATCAGCAGACAAGGGGTTTACCAACAAATCAACTTCCCCTGTAATCTGTGAGAGGAACCAGAGATCTTCTGTTTCTACAGCCCCGTATCTCAGAGACTTAGTAAATGGGCATGATAAGAAAATGATATTTGTCCTAGGAATGCAGGTGCACCACTGTCTGTAGCATCTACAGTGCTACTAAAAACACCAAAATACAAGTTTAAAAAATCATAATGAAACAAAATTGCAATTTTCTTTAGTTGAAGTAAGTCTCCCAAATAATAAAAAAAGGATGTAAATATCCTTAAAAGACTAATGACATTTCACAGGTAATGCAATTTAGAAAGAAACACTTCCATGTTTTCTTTTCCAACAATGTGCATTTTTGTAAACTGCTATAAATTGCAATTCAAAAGCACTGATCTCACCATCCCCAATCATTTTTTATACTGATCAAATGAATGCAGATACTCCCACTTGGGAGGGGCGACATGACATTTCACTTGGCAGTTCTAAACAGGTCACAGACCTTTCACAGACCCTAAGGCAGTGGGAGGGAGCTCTTTGCTAAACCGTGTAACCAAATCAAACCAATGGTTACCCCTTTTCAAAACCGTTGGAATGGTGTGCACAATGCTATTCACATAGCAGCACAGACACTGAAAGGATGGTCATCCAATGGGAATTTCTTTCCTTTTGTTTAAACTTGCAGAGCTCAAAAAGTAATACTTGGAGGAAAACAATCACGTTTGCTATGATAAAATCATGTACAATTCACATGCGTTTTTGTTGACACTACCAGACGTAGCTGGGACCGGCCACTTCCATGTACGCATATGCACACGTCTGCGCGGATATGTATGTATATTTATTGTAGATGCTGTTTTGTTTGAAGCCATCAGCACAAAGACACAACAAGGCTGACCTGGAGATGACCTATTGCTTTCAAGTGGCTTGAACACATCAGAATTTCCATTGTTAGGGTTGATTAATTGAAACTGATAAGTTACCATGAATAAAGATGGTTTCACTGTTTAATGTGGTGGGCCTGATTCGGTAAATGCCTCATTCATGTAGCTTTGCAGTGTAGCATACGGGCAAGAGTCATTCCGTATCACAAACATATACAATTTATTATGCGTGTACGGGCACAGCCAAAAGGCCTTTCTGTTTTAATGACAAAGTTTCAATGAAAAATTCCATTGAAAGAGTTGCTAGTAGCATGAAGTGTGATTTTGTGATTTAGTCTTAAGAATTTCTCTGAATAATTTCAAAGATATGATATCTAAATACTGTACAGTAAAAAGATATACCCATACATCTATATATTTAATTCATACCTTGGCCTAGGTCATGAGGAATAGAGCAGAATCTATCTTAACTATTAACAGGCACACATGGAGAGAAAGCAGTGTCATCCGATGCCACCTTGTATGGCGATGCTGTTGGCAAAGTTACTACAAATGTTTCATTGGAATGCCACCGATGAGATTTCACACTGCCCAGTTTACCAGAAAATGTAAATAGGAGATTTTTTTGGTGAATAACATGTCAATATCACGATGCTATTTTTCTTAATTAGTAAATCAGAATACAACATTTAAAAATTAATTTGCAATTACATAAAAACTAAATTCATTTCTTCACAATTTAGTTATTATTAACTTCTTTTACTTAAAAAAATGTCTCTTTTTTTAAACAGTTAAGTACATAGAAACTGTGATGAATATTTACCAAGAGTTCAGGCTGCTGAGTTTTGTAAGATCATACAGAAACTATTTTTTTTCCTTTCATGAATTTAAGTTGCTCACGTAAGAGTAATAACAACAACAACAAAAAGAAAGACATGCTAATGAACTAAAGAATCAACTGTACCAAACCATCAAAGAGATAGTTACCATATTCAGCCGTTAATGTCTCATCAAATAAATTTTCTGGTCATTCATGTCCATGAAACAGTTCAAGTTCACCCAACATTTCTCAATTACATTAGATGGGTGATCTCAGTTCAACTCTTCTGGAGAGTAATAAACCACATTGGTCACAGTTGACCACAGCTAGCATGTGTTTTATAAAGGACTGGATGTCCATTGGAAAGCTAATCAGCACACCGGCACTTGTAAAATTCCCTCCCACATTTTGAAGTGATAATCTGTATCTAATTTTTAAAGAAAAATTTACCCTCCTTTCACTCTTCTGAGGCTGATTTCTTTTCTGGACCTGAATAGAAATCATTGGTGAAACAGTACCAAACAGCTCTGGTATGTGTATAACAAAAACCCACCTCTTTGTAGAACGTAACAAATTATGCAATGTTCACAGATGCGCTTCACATTTGTGCCTTTTGTGAGAAAATGAAGGCCCAACTCTTTCCCACCCCCTTCTTTATGAAAGACAGGACTCTCAATGCAATCTTCAGAACCCTAGAGAAAAATGAATACATGGGATATGGAGGCTTTACATTCATATCTTTAAAAGGTTTTCAGTTGGACTTCAGGTCTGTGTAACTTTGCAATTTTGACTTTGAAGTTACAAGCAGCTGTTTATTCCTGCGATCCAGTAAGTGACTCGGGGATTGGGGATTACAATTGTAACTGCTCCTGAAGCCCACCTTTGACCTTCAGAGGTTTAGTGGAACACTGTTGCTGCACGATTTCACATTTGAGCTTTCACACTCCTGAAGAAACAGTAATTTTTCAGTTATGGTTTTTCAAATGTGCACATTAGAATATTTTAAACTTTGTTTCTATATCTTTGGGTTTTGATTTTCTGATATGTCTGTTAATAGGTAATCCCGATTGACCAGATAGCAATTTCTGCAGAAATGGAGAAGCATGGGGAGGCTCCGCCTAATGTTCTAGTTTTTGAGTGATTGTCTCAGAATATAAGCTACAAGGGCTAAAATGTCCTTTGTACTCTCAGTGCCTGGCCTAGGACTTTGCTTGCAGTAGGTATTTCCGAAGTCTGCAAAAGGAATGGATGAATGGAGTTAAAAAGGAGGTGAGCCTGGAAGGTTAAGTTGTGTGGCCCCATGGAATCCGCAGGCTTTGTGGTTCCTTTCCACACTGACCTTGGTCTTGGCCAAGTGGCCTCCTTTAGTTAAAGAGAGGAGCAGATGTGAAACCAAAATGTGAGCAATCCCCGTGTACTGGAGCTTGCTCTTGCTGTGACTAAGAAGATCATGTAGGGAGAAGCAGCAGTTTCGACTGGTCCTCCACACTTAACTGAGGAACTTGGTTCTTATCCTGAAAGCCCTGGAGATCTATTGAGGAATTAAATAAGGGAGTAACAAAATATGAAAATATGAGCCAAAGAATGAAATCCTTACAGACTCCAGCAACACTTAATAATCACAGCAGGGGCAGAACAAAGACGCTGTGAAGGGTACTCTGAGAAGTGGGAGAACCAGAACAGAATAACATCTCAAAAGTCAAGGGGGCATCCTGAGAATTAAGGTCAAAGTACAACGTTTCAGTTACGCAGGTTGAGTAATTCCTGGAGACATGCAGCGGGGTAACTGTAGTTAACAATACTGTATTGTATCTGTGGAATTTGCTAAGATGTGAACTCTTAAGTGTTCTCACAACAAAAAAAGAGAAGAGGGTGAAGGGAAGGAGGGGATGGAGAGGAGAAAGGGGAGAAAGATGGGGAGGAAACTACATGAAGTGATGTGCATGTTAATTAGCTTGGTTGTAGTGGTTATTCTCCTTAGCTATCTATACACACACACACACACACACACAGTACATAGTATATATAT